CCATTCAGAGTTTATATTTTATCAGGTCATGATTCTCTGGGAATCAAACCCCATGACCTTTAAGTGTTAGCGCCATATTCTACTACTGAGCTACCTAACATACTTCTATGTTCGAATAAATGTAAGTAAAGGCATTAAGCCCAATGTGATGACAATGACTTACAATTTAAACAAACAGCAGGAAAATATGAATATGAAATATACATAAGAAATGTACAGCCAGATGTTGAGAGCAACTTTAAAAGTTTTAGAATGTTTAGAAACAAGGTACACATTCATTTATTTAAAAATAAATAAATAAATCATTGTGATTCAACATTTTTAAACGTTTGATGTCACATTTCAGCCTGCATATGAAAAATATCTCTTCGTTTGTTACCACTTGAGCAGCACATTTTACCCCGTTTACGTAAATCTCTGATCTAATCCTTAGAAGTTCGCTTATATTAAGGTGGACATAGAAACGCAATGACTTTTGGGTGTTTGTCGGACTACGGTCATTTGCTGCCATCATGTGGTGATTCCGGGTAAATGACATGTCATTCTGCTAATGATGAATTGCAACGGATTGCATATTAAAACATCAAATATGTTCTGATTAGCTGTGATTGTCGGGTCGCTGGAAACGTACCGTGTCTGGTTTGGACGCGATGTAGGGGTACATGCGGGCAGTGCTTAATTTGTAAATTACGAGGTCCCGGAACAAAGTGGGGTGACGGATCCGGCATGATTAGAGGAAGGAGAGGTAACGGAGCATTGGCGCAATGGAGGACCAGCTTACGTGATTAACAGCGTGCATCTTCTTACGGTCATGAAAAAAATTGAAAAGTCATGAAATTTTAAAACAGACCTGGAAAGGTTTTGGGAAAGTCATGGATTTTTTCCCCCTTAAATCTCTGTATAATATAATTATGTTTAATCTGCTTTCGAGTTTATAATGAGGGAAATTCCTGCAAACATATTCAATAGAGCATGTAGGTTAGATGAGTAAATAAATCCACACATACTATCAGATTAAATCAGTCATTTGAAAACAGCGTGAGTGATTCAGCTGTACCGCGTCTTTTCTCACTCACAGCGGCTTCACAACAGCGCATCTCGTCTGCACTACTGCACGCTGCGATACAAGACTTTTGCTCGGGTTTCGGGACAGTCGACAGAATTGTCACTTGCCTAATCGACTCGAGTCATTGTTGCATCGTTACAAAACTGTATCATTTGCACATCTTTTTAAGTTTAAGCCATTCGATACTCGCGTGCTCCAAAGGGGGTTTCCTATGCGCTCACAGTCACATCCATAGCG